TATATATATATGCAGAAACATTTTCCTCGCTTCTAAATCACTGGAAAGGAAATGAATGACTTCTCATCTAGAATAATTCAAAGGCACGGATGTTAGAACAGAGGGAAAAACTACACAGTAGCATTATGTGTGAAAAGTAAAGCTTTAACAGAACTGTGCAAGTCTGAAGTAAAAAATCCAGTGAAGGCTTATCCATGAAGGAAATAGAGGCAAAGAACTGAATGCTTACAGAAAAACATAAAGTGTAGGTTGTAGTCCAGGGTGTTTGCATGGTTTTTATTTTAGGACAAAGAAATAATTGCCCATAAAGACAGAGGTAACATGCATAAACACTGGAATCGGACACAACAGAAATGATTCAAACGGTGACAAAATAGGTTTCACACTGTAAGTGGAAGGCTGCAGAGAACTTCTTAAATGTCTTTGTAAGTGTGAAGGGAATGTACTGAGTGGGTAATCAACAGGGACATTTACCCCAACAGGCTCCTCTCCCCTTGACACCTTCTGCCTCCAGTTCCCACAGCTTCTGTTTCCTCAACAGCCTTTCTGCCTCTGTGATTTGCTGTAGATTACTTGAAGATGTTGAATACCTGTGTAATTTTTTTTTCAAGGACTAAAGTCCTTAAAGAATCATGAGACTGGATTATGCACATGAAAATAAGATACTATTACAATATTATCTACACTTGTATAGGTAGACTGTTGCTATAGGAACACATCCAGAATCAAAGCGAAAGGACTCCATCCCAGCAGGGACCAGCCTGCGTGCGACACCCGACTCCAGAGCTACTGCACAGCTCGTGTAACTTGTAAATAAGCAGGTAGAGTGTGTATTTCAATGCCACATCTCAAGATCAGTTGCCCACATATTTCTGTGATTACTTTTTAGATTGCTTCCATCATATTCTATTTTTATTGTAACGCTGTGGAAAAAAAAATATCCTGCAAACACTAAAGTACACTGCATGATAGTTTTCCTGCAATGGGATTCAATGCCAACCAAGTGCTGGAGCACCTTACGTGCATGGAATTATGTGTGAGCTTTAATGTTTAAAAAAATCAGACTCTATGAGAATAAGTTGATCTACGTTTTATTTTCTTCAGCTTTCTTTGATGAGGATTAATGAATGAATGGTCACAAAGTGCTCTAAAATCCTAGGAAAGCACTCTAAGAGCACACACTTAACTATTGTGAGCAAAGGATAATGTTTAATGCTTACCTGGAATTTTGCTCTAGCTATAGGTGGATGAGTCATTGTCACAGAAAATGTAACAGTTTCATCTGAGAAACAGAAAAACATTAAGAGATGTTACAGCAAATACTTGATGACTGACAAGGAAAAGTATCTTCACGGTAACGAGCTGAGTAAAACTGTTTGCCCAGACTAATCCTCAGAATTCTTCTGCAAATGTGGTTTATTTTCCACAGGGCTTTACAAAAACATACCCCCCCCCCCCCCAGCCATAAAAATGGCAAATACAAATAATTATGTCTACATCACTGAGCTCTGCAACTGTGTTTACAAATCCGATTCTTCTCACTTCTTTTGCAGACATAAAAAGTTTCCCAAGTAAGTCTATGTGCTAAACTGGAGCAGCATATAGATTGGTACTTTTTCTCTCTGCATTTAAAAAAACCTACTTTTCCCATACTTCTGTTTTCACTGTCTGCATACTTAAACTTGTTCAAAACTTGCTTACCTTATAAATCGATGACTTTCAGAACTGCCCACTGCAAATATGCACACCTATGTCCTGAAACGTGCGTTGCCCATTTGAAGAGCTATGAACGCATCCTGCACACATACAAGTTCAGAGATGCGAGCATATATATTTCTATACTGCACTTGTTTAGGCAGAATTGAGGTCATGTGAACCAAAGTGTCTGAAAAATATTAAGGGCCAAAAAAATTCTTCCCTACAAAAAGTAAAGCATTTTATAATAACAAACATATACCAGTGAATTGGTGCATAATCTTCCTATGACATTTAACTCCATGATCTAGATGTTTCCTAATCTGCCAGCATTTAGATTGTTAATGTTTGAAAAGGAAAATTAACTGATAATCTATGAAATTTAGGAATTTACTGTAATTTCTGTTGTCAAGAGAACAGGTCATATTTTTATTTGATGTCTTTGGTATTCTTTTGGTCATGCATCACAACATCCTGCACAGGCAAACCACACAGCAGCTAGAGCAAGATGGAAATACACTGCCAGCTGTTAATTAACAGCTCAGGAACAATTACGAGATGCCAATCAGCACAGAAACGCAACGAGATCTACTTTGATGCCCGTGGGGCTCTGGCCAGTTTCGCGCCAGCTACCCTCAGGAAACCACCCCGCCTGGCCCCGGCCGGCGGGAAGGCGGCAGCGGCCTCGGGGGGGGGACCGGGGATGAGCTCCCCGCGCTGCCCCGGAGGGGAAGGTATCGGGGGAACAGGGGCTCAGCTTCGTTCCCCCGGGCGGCGGGCGGAAGGGAGGCGCGGGGCCCGTCCGGAGGCGCCGCCA